GAAAAACTATTCCGTTTGGATGTTAACTTAGTTGTAATAATCTTACTTAGATTATTTACTCACAAGTAATCTTACCGCAGTAAGGAGTGTAATAAAATATTACAACGGTTGTGTTATAAATTTGTTCCATTTGTTATACAATACACACTATAAAAAGATACCTATTGATTGTACACTTACATTCACGTTCATATTTTGTTTTCATATGACTCATTTCTGTGAATGTATTACCATACCATTACAAACGGTATTGAATCATATGAATATACATGTGTTGTATACATAGATCGATACAAATGTGCGTAGGAATAAATATCACGTAACATCTTCCATAAGCATGTCGATTTCAGATGTGAGGGGATTAAGACCAAATCCTTGAGATAAGTGGCTTAATTTAATATTTTATTCTTAATATAATATTTTGCGTTCAGAATTTTTTTTTCAATTAATTGCGACATGTTAGTAGACGCTCTGCCTGTTGGTAGGTGGCTGTGGCGCATAGACAACTCACATCTCGATTAAGAATAAAAAAGTACGTAGATGTGTTGACAGTTTATTCTAAGATGGTAGTAACAAGTAAAAAGGGTTTCCAATTTTCTTCAATCACCACACTACATACAGCAGTATGCTGCTATTTTACGTAGGTACTCTGTACGAACGTGGGCATTTTTGATCAAACCCATTTATTTGGGTTGAATATGCCTTAACACAGCTACAACGTGGATTTATCTCGTATAAAGTTTTTTTTAAACGTATTTAACGTGAGTATTATATAACTACAGAACACCCTTATTAGGATTAGACATTAAAATCTCTTTATAGACTCTAGTGCTTGAGTCGGGATTAACTGGGTCTACACGGACTGGTTTAGCATTCATAAATGTGTCAGACAGGGTTGTGTGGCTTTCCCGTGACTGTTGAAATCTGTTTATGGACAGTTGTTTGAAAAGTTTGAAAGCCGAAAAATGTGAAATAAGGATGGGTGAGTCAAGTTAGAAGGGCTGTAATGATGATGATGAATGATGAGTCAAGTTATATTTGCGTTGTCAGTGGGCGAGTTGCAAATTGTGGTTGCTCTAATGAACATATATTTAACAAAAAGGGGAATGAAAGTGAACGCACTTAAGAAGAAAATGGTATTTGAAAGAGAAGAAAATAAAACGATATGTGAAATGAGAGTAGAAGGCGACTTGATTGAGTGTACGTCAATGACTTAGTGTATTCAGGATGTTTGTTTAGCAGGGTCGGTAGACATGAAAAAGATATAGAATGAAGAATTAATGCAGGATATAGTAAATGGGCATATTTATTCTATTGTAGGAAATCAGAATGTATCAAAAATGGAACGATCTTAATGCATGATAGTGAACGTGGGTATGGCAAAAGAAGCATGAGAGTAAATTAATGCAGTAAAATGCGGTTGAAATTAGGGTGGACTCTGGGTGATGGGGTGAGAAATTTTGTGATAAGAAAAATGTCGTTTGAAAGAAAATGGTGTGATTAGGGTTAAGAAAGGAATGCATCGGTGGCTTGGACACTAAGTAAAAGTAGTAAGTAGCTAAATTTATGCCGCAGAAAACCATCAACGAGCAGGTATGCGTAGATATTCGTATATGGATGTGAAATAAGTTAGAGGTGCGTCAGAATCGTGCCAAGCGGAAGTCCGTAGTCTCTGATTATCGACAGACAGGCATGAGAATTTATGATATGCTATGACAATACATAACGAACACTTAACATATACATCTATGATTTTGCACTACAACTTAAAAATCAGCTATATTTTTTCCTTCGTCGTATTTATTTTATAATACATATATACATGTATACGTTTGTATATACACGGGTAGGTTAGGATGAGTGTCTCTGTGTTAGTACATTCGCTAGTTGTACCATTATAGAAACATTGATAGCTTTCAATTATTGAGATGGAATTAAAACTCGAATTGACCAAAGTGGCCGTGTGGTATATCTAGTGCATGCAAGTTTCCTCACGATGTCTTAATTCAGTATTGAGAAAACAAATAAATGGCAAGGTAAGTAATAACAATCAGTAATAAACTGAGCAACAAGACTAAGGCGACCTCTGCCACGCTATCCGTGAATTTCTGCAACATCAGGCGACTTCACTCGAACCTAAACGCCGTCCACTACCATCCTCGAGACGGCGAAGCCGGCCTTGCTCTTTCTGACCGAGACGCAGGTGTCCTCTCCGGCTGATACTTCGCATCTCACCTACACGGGGTACAAATTGGAGCGCCCCTTTTTGCCTCGGGCTGGAGTTTGCGTGTATGTCAGAGAGAACATCTGTTCTCGAGGCCTCAGCAGTCTTGAAGATTCAGACCTGTCCATCCTTTGCCTACGCGTAGACAGCGACGACCATCCGCGCGTCTACGGGTGCCTCTTTAGGTCCCATAGCGGTAATTCCGAAACAGACCGACTCATCGACCACGTCCAAATGGCTACAGATTCCTTGCTACAATAAGTGCCATCCACAAAGATCGTAATCTTTGGCGATTTTAACGCCCACCACGCCGAATGGCTCGGTTCACGTTTAACCGACCATGCGGGGAGATCTGTTTATGACTTTGCCTTGGCATATGGTCTGACACAACTGGTTACATCGCCTACGCGGATTCCAGATGTTGAGGATCATACACCTTCCCTGTTGGACCTTCTGATGACCTCTCATCCGGACGGATATCAGGTTTCCGTCGATGCCTCTCTTGGCTCTTCGAACCATTGTCTGATCCGGAGTGTGGTGCCACTCACGCTCCCCTCGCGGTTGCGTTCCGCAGGTTGCCGCCGTGTTTGGCATTACAGGTCGGCGGATTTTGACGACTTTCTTTCGAAGCTCCCTTCCTATGGGCTTCCAGAGAAATTATGCAATTGGATCACCAGATTTCTTGCAGATCGGAGCATCAAGGTCGTTGTAAACGGTGCATGCTCTGACTACAAGCCTATTAACCCTGGTGTTTCACAAGGCTGCGTGCTATCACCAACGCTGTTTCTTCTGCATATCAATGATATGTTGCAGACCGGTAGCATTCATTGCTATGTGGATGACAGCACTGGCATGCTCTATACAGCGGACCTGCCAATATTTCTTGGGAAAACGTCACCGAGTACCGAAACAAACTTGTGTCTGAAGTCGAGTCTTTGCTGGACAAAGTCTCGGATTGGGGGCGACTAAATGTAGTCCAGTTTAATCCTCAGAAGATACAAGTTTGCGCGTTTACCGCTAAAAAGAACCCCTTTGTCGTATCTCCTCAGTTTCAAGGTACTCCCCTTGTTGCCTCAGCCAGTATCGGAATCCTCGGCGTCGACATATCGAGTGACGTGCAGTTTCGTGGTCACTTGGAAGAGAAGGCCAAATTGGCCTCTAAAAAGCTTGGCGTGCTCAGCAGAGCGGGACAGTATTTCATGCCGGCTCAACGCTTGCAACTTTACAAGGCGCAAGTTCGGCCTCACATGGAATACTGTTCCCATCTCTGGGCTGGGGCTTCCCAGTGCCAGCTCCTGCCACTTGACCGCATTCAGCGCAGAGCGGCTCGAATCGTCGACGACCGAGTCCTTTCCGATCGGCTCGACTCATTGGCGCTGCGAAGAGATGTTGCATCTCTTTGTATTTTCTTTCGCATTTACCACGTTTTATCACATTTACAATTACTCAAAGCACTCCTGCTTTGAGTAATTGTTCGGATTAATCCCAGCCGCCAAATTTCACGAACCCTGATGATTGGCGGTCCACCACTGTGCGATTTAGAAGATGTTTTCTTGCTCGCACAACTTCCTTGTGGAATAGTTTACCACCAGCGATTTTTCCGGACCGATACGACTTAGGGACCTTCAAGAAAAGAGCCTACTCCTTTTTAAAAGGCCGGCAACGCATCTGCAATTCCCCTGGTGTTGCGGTTGTTCATGGGCGGCGGTAGTCACTTACCACCGCATGCTCGTTTGCCCCCTCTCCTATAAAAAAAATGTACTTCAGAATAAATTATGGGCCAACAGTTTTAGGTGCTTTCCGAGGCACGACGGATGAGAATTTCTCGACAGAAAAACCCAATAATTTATTTTGGCCCGACCCGGGATTTGAACCAAACGATCAGCAGTCACGCTTACGGTCACTAGACCAACGAGATAGTTAAGATAAGTAATACAATATTATTAAATCAAAACATAAAATTTTAGCAAATCGAGCACTGTAAAAGATTGTTGTATTAGGCGAAGAGCCATGCTGCAGCTATATTATTGTTGTAGCACGAATGAGTTGGCTCGATCGACGTAGGAACACGATTTCACAGAATACCAGCGTGAAACAGCAGCTTAAAGCTGCTGTATTTCGTATGGTGAGTGCAGAAAACTGGAAACCCTTTTTACTGGAAACGAGGCATTCCATCTTAATCCTCAGGGGTGACAACGCATCTGCATTTTGATTCTTAATCGAGGATAGAGACGTCTCTATGGGCTACAGCATCCACTAACTATCAGGAAGACTAAGGGCTCCTTTGTCATTCATATTATGCTTTAAAGAGAGTTTTTACGACACATTATAATTGTGTGTATTAAGTGAGTTGTTATTTGGTTAATGTAATTATGCACATTATGTATCATTTCGACAAAACATAAGTATCGTCTAAATTTCTACTAATCAGTAAGGGCTTAATGTTTCCGTTTAATGCTTTAATTACTGGTAAACAACCGGTAATTTATTGATACTTTTGTAACTCTATAGGAATACTAAACTACGACAATAAGAACATTGTTTATTTTGAGTCAGTCATCGCGAAAACACGTTGTTTGGTTAAGAGATGTGTACTTATCTATCTAACAAACATTATCTTGTGTTATCAACACTAACTGTTAAAGTAAGTATATAAGACTGCTTTAAAGGAATTTGGTATAATAAGTTACGAACGAGCTTCAAAGAAACACAAGTTTTTTTGAATTATTGTGATACGAACGAAATTCGAAAATAAGGAAAGTTTAGTTAAGTCACAATGAGGATTTTAATTTTGCTGCTTATTGTAAGTAATGATTTTTTTACAAAATATTTTAATATCTAAATTTAATCTTGATACTATAATTAAATACCAATAATATAATATTTGATTAACAATTTTTGATATTTAATTTACACAGTGATTTTTAATAAATTAAATGATTTATATAATTATAAATAACGCTATTCACATTACTATCACTCTCGTTAACTTAAATTGCTTTCGTTAAAAGATACCTAGTAAGCGAATGGCGGAATTGAACCCTCGACTTTCTGTGTTAGCGGTCCCCATCCTTTAACCTTTAACCCTTAATCCTTAACTTTTTGTTACGTTATGATTTATAATAACTTAAGGAAATATTTAACGTTGTTAAAATAATACACCGAAATACTTAAAATTATAAAGTAAAACCAATATCATATTCATACAGTGGATTATAGTGATTAGTAGAGTGTCTTACAATAAATAAACGTTTAAAGATATAAACATACTTTAAATAACTAAGAAGAACATAATCATCGAAATCAGTTGATCTGGTAGAGACATATTTGACCATATGTCGTGAAGATAGGCCTTTGCAAATTGAGAATTTTATTTTTTATTTTTTTTCTTAAAACTTTCTTAAACAATGGTATAGAATAAAATATAATAATTTTTATTTAATATAAATTACAAAATAGTTATTGAAAGTTATTTAAGCTTTACCGCTGGTTCGGAAAACCAACCTCTGTCCTGGAAAAAATAGCATGAAACCAAGATAGACTTTTTAAAAAAATAAATAATTTATAATATGAACGGATAGGGGAAGTACCCTTTTCCTAACAATAACAAATAATCATTGTGTGTACATAATTCCGACGGATTGAGAACCTCCATCTTTTCTTGAAGTCGGTTCAAAATCGTATTAAGCTGGGCACTTTGTTTTGCGCAAAATAAATTACTACTTTTTTATAATCTTGCTGGATCGGCAAACCTTGTTCTGCCCTTTCCAAAAGCATGAGTTTGTTTTGTATATAAAATAAAATAAAACAAATTAATAACGCGACTACCGCGCCCCCTATCCGGTGAAGATTTTGTGATATTGTTTTTTAGTACTAAAGCTACTTATGAGTAATTTTGGTCTATAAATAATATAGAAATTGTTAATAGTCGTACTGATAGCGTTGCCTTTTGGATCCAAGTATGGCTATGAACATTTATTAATTAATTAATTACAGCATATAATTAAAAAAAATTGTACAACCGATTTCAATATAAATAAAATAAGAACATCATTAATGTAGTCGAAATCAATTAAATACGCATTATTAAGGATAACTCAAAAACACACACATGAAAAGTACCAGTTTTCAAATAGAAAAGAACCATCAAAATCGGTTCACCCTTAAAAAAGTTCTAGATAACAGTCACAACACACACACACACATATATATATATATATATATATATATATATATATATATATATATATATATATATATATATATATATATTAATGTATGCACTGTTTTCTTTGTATCTTGTAAGAACAAGCTTTAGTTTTTAATAATGTTTTAAGCTAATGACTTTGTAATATTTTATTCGTGTCGTGTAAAAAGTCTTAGTTTTTAGCGTTGATAAGCATATAATAATTTGTATTTGTGACTGTTGATTATTTTTCAGCAAAGATTATTTGTTTTAAAGGTTTACTCCATTCGAAGTATTTTATAGCATTAATTTTATTTGCTTTAATTTTTTTATTATCACAACTATTACAATATTTATGTTATTAACTGTTAGATTAGTTATGTAACAAAAATTTTATTGAAGTATACACAGTTTAATTAAATTAAATCTATATTGTTTCAGGTGGCAGCATTTGCAGTGAGTGCAAAGTATTTACCAGGTAGTGATAATTCCAATCAATTATTAAATCGCTACAAGCGATCTGACTCCGAAGAATCTAAAGTGTCATCTGAAGACAACAATTCAAATAGTAATGATGATGACAATGATGACGATGATGATAAAGATGGTGGTGATGTTATCCTTCAAGAAAAATTCAAAAAAGAGCAATCTAAGCGCCTCATAAAGCTTGAAAAGTCTAGGCTTAAATTATTAGAAAAACAAGAAAAAGAAAAACGAAAACGGGAAGAAGAGCAAAGAAAGCTTGAAGAGAAAATTGCCAAGGAGTTGCGCAAAGAAGAAGAAAAAAGGCGAAAAGAAGAGCACAGGCGTGAAGAAAAATTAGAAAAAGAAAGGCGAAAATTGGAAGAAGCTGAGAGAAAATTACAGGAAAAACATTTGAAAAATGAACGAAAATTGCAAGAGAAGACAGAGGAACAGTTGAAAAAAATAGAAGAAAATACTTTTAAAATGCAAGAAGCGGATGTTAATATTTCGGGGTTAGATTCAGGTGATTCTATAGAATTACAAGATTTTTGGAAAAATCATATATATTCAAAATACGGTATAACCGAGTTCAATACGAATTTAGAAAAGACAGCTGCATTAAGGAGGTATATGCAAGAAGAACTAGGTTTAAAGGCTAATAGCACGGCAAGTGAACGTCGTCAAGCAGTGCTAAATCTTATTAATAGTAAATTACAAACTACATCGGAACAAAATGAATTACAGAATCAATTGATCAATTATATAACTAAAGTTGGTGTCCAAAAAATACGTGCAAATCTGGAAAAAGAAATCGAAGAATTAAAAAATAAGACAGAAACCCTTAACAATGTTAATTTACCATGGGTTCCAGTTGCGAAACAAAACATTGCCGATCAGGTATTATTCTTAGGAACTGTAAAGGAGATTTTATCAAATATATTGCCTAACTGGCTTATTGAAAGCGACACAGAATTAGATACGGCAACTAACAGTGACATTAATATAGTCGATACTATTAGCAGTCAAAATGAAAACTCTTCTGATCTTAATATAACTTTTGATTCCAAGATATTTACAACCGATATAAAAGTTCCTAATCCAGCTTTGACAAATAACAACTCTTATGAAAATGTGGAACATACTTCATCTAGACTTTCTAAAATTGGAGATAATGTCCTCGTGCCTTCTGCAGAAAATAGTACATCTGACCCCTCCTTTAAGAAGAATGAAAATGCTGCCACAGTTTCAAATGTTTCTTCTATTGTTTCTGAATCATCATCAAGTGGGTCAGAAAACAGTCAAATGCCACTTAATGAGTTAGCAAATTCTAAAGGCGGACCTATGACACTAAATGAAACAGATATTTCGACATCAAAAATCATTAATAACTCTCTTGACATTGCTTCATCCATTTCTGAAGTGCCCACTACTAATTCTAAGAAAACATTTAGCAGCGAAGACACATCCAGTGATTTAATCAGTAAACGCATAGATTCAAACTCTAATAAAATTATTTCATCGGACACTGCGCAAGCTAAGGGTTCCAAAAACATCAATGAATCTACAAATAATGCAAATTTGAACATAAACACCCCCAAGATTTCAGTATTAGAGGGCAATGTTTCTGATTCTGATTTAATTAGTAACAACACTAATAACAATGTATCTAACACTGGAAATAACATATTTGAGTCTTCTGCAGATAACATCACATCATCTGCTTCTAGTGAGAAAACTGGCAATGCTGTGTCAGTTTCAAACGATGAATCTAATATTAATGAATATTCACCAAAAATTATCAGTAGCTCTCCTTACAATTATTTATCTAAAGTGGCTGCTGACAGTCAAAATTTATCCAATGATCCTAATAATAGAATCACAGATTCAAGTTTTTATGAAATTTCATCACCGAATACAGCTCGACCTGAGGGTTCCTTAAATGAGAATAATACGGACGTAAGCCAAAACCCGTTAAATATTTCATCAATTGAGCCCACATTTGTAAATAAAAATATTAATGTTAGTGTCAATGACAATGACATTTTATTTGGATTTTCTAGTACAGGAAATGAACTATCGACCAATGATAATGACGGAGATACATTATCTGGAGTTACTAGTGCTGGATTTGGTATCACTTCAACTTCTGTAAATAATATCACTACAGCTAATCTCCCTTCAGACAATTCTGAAAATACTGTCTCAGTTTCAACTGATTTATCCAATGCTACTGAACCATCATCTCATTATATGGAAAGGAGTCAACCTTCAGTTATTAGACACTTAAATTCTCAAAACGTACCTCAGATAATCAGTGAAAGAGGTACTTTGCCCTCGATAACAACAGGTATCGCTTCTGATACTGTATCACCCTACCCTGAAGTGACTTCTGATGCTAATAGCTTATTCAGTAGCCAAAGTGATTCTAGTGATTTAGTAAATATGATCACAGGTTCACCTCACAAAATTATTTCACCGTATACTAAAAATGCTACTAAATTAACAAATGTTGATAGTATAAATATTTCTAATTCGGAACCTAAAACAAATGGAAATATGATTGAAAGTAATGAGACTGATACTAATATTTCAAAAATATCGCAGAGTATCGTTACAGAAAATAATTTACTTACATTTGAGAGTTCAATAAATGATAACGAAATCCAAGAATCAAGCACACCTGAATCCATAGATACTTCTAAATTTGTATCTAAGGAGCATTCATTAGAATATTTTGAAAACAACGTTACTGTTGCAAACAATGATAATCAAACTTCTAATTTATCAAATGTTTTGAGCGCAAGTACTAAAGACCTAAAAACAGTTTCTGGTAACCCAAGCCCCAACGTGGTTGATCAATCTGGAAGTTTCACTGTTGAAACTGCTGCCAATGGTCTTAAAATGGTGAATAATTTGGTATCTCCTCATATCTTGGATTTAAATCCAATAGATAATTTGCCATCACATAATGAAAATTCTAATATTACTGTCGCTGATAATAGCGAGAGTTTATATCAAACACCTGATTCTCCAAATATTTCTATTAAAGGCTCTACGGACTCTACGTTAGTCCAATCTGAAAGGAAAATAGCTGCTAATCGTACAAACATTAGCGTGGGTGATGTTTTATCTACGGCAACAAATACTCCAATAATTGCTATAAGTAATGCAGATCTTAAGGAAAAAGAAGTATCATTAACTTCAGCAGATGATGGTTTTTCGTCTAATTTACTGCCTATTAATGACACATCACAAGTTGAACACACTATTGTCACCGATAGTTCAAATGTTCCTGATTTGAATGATCATGTTACGCAAAAAACAATCAGGGAAGTTAGTAATACCGTTAATGAAGTCAAAGCACCTGACCTTTCTAGATCTTTCAGTGAAACGCAAACATCAATTGCTAGTGAAGGATTCGAGGTAACAAAACAAACCCCAATTGCTGCTGAATTTACTGTACGTGTCGATAATGCTCAATTAAACACAGAATCAATAAATTTAAAACAGCAAGCAATAGAAAAAAAAGTGACGACTGATGAACCGTTCGTTAAGACAAATATTGTATCGGAGGTTAGTACCGAACAAAGTACCACCACGCAAGCAACAGAACAAGTATTAGCTGATATATCTACAACTGCCGAGTCGGATATATTGAAAAATGAGTCTATAAATGGAGAAAAGCTATCTATTGTAAATGTTCCAGTTCCTGTTGAATATGGTGCCTTGGTGATAAATATAACGAAACAGTAAATAATTTCTTCTAAGTTTTTAACAGCAACAACTTTTGAATAATGCATTATACATATACTTAGCTAAAAATTATTTTAAAGATGAAAAAATTTATATAAATGACTAATGAATTAAATGTTGGTAGTGAAAAATTGGTCATGTTTTTTAAACCAGCAAACCAACGTCTGTCTTTAAATTAAAAGTAAAATATTGTATTAGAATATTGTCTCGTATCGTGGAGGCAGTTTACATAATGTGCATGAAATTATAATATGTGTAATAAATTGGACAAGGACACACATTCTGACTACTGTTACTGTTTCTTCTATTTTAACAAAATTTATTTTCTAAGATGGAAAAGTCAAATATATTAATAAAATTATAAATTATTATTTCAATATTTTGTTTTATTCTTCACAATATTTTTCCAAACATCAGTATCAAGAAGTTGTTTAGCATTTTAAGATCTAATTAAGACTAATGATTATTATAGTATATACATGTACATATCTTGGACAAATTTAGAGAAACGCAAAAAAATTGAGTATAAAACAAAATATCATGGATATATGCGACAATTAAGTTTATTTATTTGGATTTAGCTTATTATTCGTTAATTTAAAATTGTAACGAAATGACAAAAAAATAACCACATTAAGAAAAAAATAATAAAGAGAAAAGAAACATTTCTGTTTCATAAATGTTTAGGAAACGCTATAATATGGGCTATAATCATTACTAAGTATTACTCCCTCTAGTTTTTCGAACTGCTTCTATACTATACTCAACTCCTTGGCATACTCCTAATCAAGTTATCAACAAAATCTTGAGAGATGCGTTTTACTCCTTCTGTAAAGCGTTTTTAAGATCTCTCAAATTAGCGGGGGCAGGATTTCGTTTCTTAATTTGTATTCCAGGATTATCCCATACATGCCTTATGGGGCTTAAGTCGGGCATGCGCGCTGGTTACCCTATAGTCATGAAGGGATTCAACAACTACGGTTACGGTATGGGGCCGTGCATTATCATTCAAAAAAACAAATCCATCGTTTATAGAATAGAATCTCAGTTACATATCGTGTCGTTGTTAGTAACCCATTCTCCATGATGATATAAAAGGGGCGTCTGGCAGGCAAGAATGATTTTATTCTGGCCGATTTCAGTCTTTTTCTCACAGTTTTTGTGTTTATTGTAACACTTCGAACTTCTTGGATATTCTTTATTACCTCAGTAGAAATTAAACCCCGGTTTCTAAGTACGCTGTTAACGATGAACTGGTCATATCTGTCCATAGTTTTGCGTTTACGTCCCTATCCTGTTAGTCTCGTATACTGTCCGGTCTGCCTCTTAACAACTCGGTTGTGGTACACCGATGGAAAAGTTCATGACATCGTTGGATGACTTACGTAGATGTGGTCCATAATCATGCAATACCTTCTTTTCAGTTTTAATAAATTTCATTTAAACAAATACGAGAGCCGTGTAGCTTACCGTAGGATTCCATGGCACGGAAGTAAAACGTGTACAATTTCCACGAGAACTAATGTAACTGTAACTGGTATAACTAATGTAACTGTAATTGGTATATAATGTAACTGGTATAGGAAATTTTATGTGCTGATTTACCACGTGTTCGGTGAAGTGGTGAAGAATAACTTCGTGGGGAAATCTAGATGAATGAGTAATCAAAAAAAATCTAGGACATGTAAAAACCGCTAATATGCATTGAAGCATTGCTGCGAACTCTTTTCTGCCCACAAAACACTGGGTAATTACGACCCCTGTGCCCTGTTGTGAGATATATGTAAGCAGCTATTTTACGTTTTATTTTAAAATGAGTCTTATAAAATGTTTTTCATAAATATAGATAGCTTACATATTTTCAGACATATAAAGATTTTTGTGACAATCCCGGTTTCATAGTTCACATGAGTATGAAAAAATTAACATTATGTTTTACGTGGCTGTGACTTTATCATGCTGCAACTATATTACTGGCATAGTTGTAGCACGTTCATATTCATTCACATTCAGATTTTCAGTGATGTTAATTTTTGTTTCAATTCTACCGTAAATATTAAGGTGAGCGAAAATAAGTAGAAATCATCATCGTCATCACTACAGTCTATCAAAAGTCCAATGCTGAACATATATTGCCAAATAGTTTCATTCATATTTTCAGAGATGTTTAATTTTTGTTTTCTTGACGCTGGTATTCTGTGAGAGCGTGGTCCTTCCCCGGTCTAGCCGACCCATTCGTGCTACAACTATACAACTAATATAGCTGCAGCATGGCTCTACCACGTATAAGTCAGTAAGTAAGTAATTCAGTTTAATTATATTCCTAAAGTGTCCAGGCAGACGAAACCGTGGATAAAATCTAGTTGTAAATAAATATATATTGTAACAATAAATCAGTACAAAATTACGCATTATGTGAGATGACGTAAAAATAAAACGTGTAAAATAATTAGGCAATATGTGTGTCTACCGACGACTGTTGTGGTCAAGAACACAATGATCACTAGGTACTGTGTGTAAATAATGAAAGACAACATATTCAAAACTATTAATACGCATAATAGTTTTTTTTAATACAGTGGTGGAGCCATACTGCAGCTATATTAGTAGTATAGTTGTAGCACGACTGGTTCGGCTCGACCGGGGTAGTACCACGCTCTCATAGAACACCATTTTAAAATAGCAGCTTGATACTGCTGTGTTTCGTATGGTGAGTGTAAGTGGAAAAGAGGCATTCCATCTTAGCCCTCACGGTTGAAGACGCATCTGCATCTTGATTATTTATTGAGGATAGATGTAGATGTCTATGGGTCACAGCAACCACTTACTATCAGGTGGACTGTGTACTCGTTTGTCACCCTATCCTATAAAAAGAGATATTAAAATATTAATTAACTCGTACATCCAATATTTATTTATTTATTTATTTACAACTTGCTCAGCGGTGAAGCAAAACAACGTAAGGAAACCTGCATGTCAGTGAAATGAAAAGTAAAATAATTCTAAGATACTTGAAGTCCGAAAACACGCACTGGAGAAACGCGGCGGATACTTCCAGAAATGAGAGGAGGCCTGTGCCCAGGAGTGGGAAGTAAATAGGTTGCAATTTTTACTTATTTATAGAGTCGTGGTAGCTCCGGAGCTAAACTCTCCCGGTAAATTGCACAGTGCGCGAACAACTAGTAAAGAAAAATAATTATTGTCCTCCAGACCGAGTTTCGGTTATGGCGGCCAGTCTCAGTGGGAATCAGCAATCTGAGGTGGACAGAATTATACAGTGCAAGGGTGTGAGCGCAAAGACAGGTGCACTCTCAATTTCTTAACTCTCATCGTCCGATGGGAGGGCAATACGACACTACCGGAGAGAGATCATGCGCAGGATGTGGCTTTACGTACTTTCCGAGACACGAGGATAAAACACTGCCAACTTCCTGTCTCCGCGCTGCTACTAAAAATTTCTTAACACAAAAACCAAACAGCTGTTTTTAGTCCTTTTAAATTACTTATATATGAATAAATATACGTTTTATGACCTCTATTGCTTTCTTTCTAAGACCAATACATAAATCATCAACAGTCATTATTAAATTAAGTTCCTAAAACGAAAAAAAATGTGTAACCCTTTCTTGAGGTGCTGTAGTCGATCATTATATAACTACATACTAAATTTCATAGAAATCCGTTCGACAGTGAGTTTTGTGTTAATTGTGAATACACACCTTTTTTATATAGAAGAGGGGGAAAACGAGCATGCGGCTCACTTGATGGTAAGTGACTACCGCCGCCCATGAACAACTGCAACACCAGGGGATTTGCAGGTGCGTTGCCGGTGTTTGATGTTTTGTGATTTTGAGATTTTGTGCGTTCCGCAGTAGAACCAGAGTAACCGACATAGCCCAACGGATTAGTAAGCTGAAGTGGCATTGGGCCGGCCATATAGCTCGAAGAACCGACAACCGATGGGGAAGAAAGGTTCTCGTGTGGCAGCCTCGTACCGGGGGCGAAGTGTAGGGCGACCCCCCACTAGATGGAGTGACGACCTGGTGAAACATGCAGGAAGTCAATGGATGCAGGTGGCTCAGGACCGTGCTTTGTGGCATTCCTTGGGGGAGGCCTATGTCCAGCAGTGGACTTGTGAAGGGCTGTAATGATGATGATGATGATGCCGGTGTTTTAGAAAGAAGTAAGATCTTTTCTTGAAAGCCTTTAAGTCGTATTCGTCCAATACAAATATACGTACAAAATTCTAAAAATCATTGATATGGCTGCAACAAACATTATGATATATTCCAGTTATTTTACCCAAATGTAATCAGCTTGTATAAAAAAAAATTCTACGGATTTATTACATGCATATATATTTGGAACTATTTAATAAGCTAACGTAATAATTAAAATGATGTGTCCGTGTAGTGGCAGCGTAAGCGAATCCACTACCCCATATCTTTCGTAGGAGTCATAAAAGGCAGAGTGAAACTAAAAGAGAACATGGGCAGCAGCATCTTTCTAAATGCAACAAACAACTCAAAATAATAAAAGAAAACCCGCCTAGAATTTTCTCCCATATCGTGGAGATAGTTTACATACATAAACTGCACATGGTCAAAATCCAAACCTGGAACAATGAATTGTAGGCCATACAAACATGCTCCGTTCCGTGAGGGGTTCGAAGCTGCAGCGTGTCAGCAAAAGGCCTTAGCCACTACGGTACCGAACTGGTTGTGCCGAGTATACATCTACACACACACACCCACACACACACACACACATATATATATATAGAATACATGGATTTTTCAAACTATAAGCAGTTTTGATTAGCTTGTTACGTAAATACATTGTGAGAAGTTACATATTTGTTTTTAATTTGTTTCCTCTAAGAGCTCAAGGATTTAGGTTATGAATTTCTCATTGCTTTGATCTTCGTCTGCAAAATAAAAATATATTGTGATATATTCATTTCCTCATAGAAAAATATTATATAACATATTATGAACCAT